GTATATATGTATGTATGTATATATATACATATATACATATATATATGTATATATATATATACATACATATATATATATATATATCAGCATCATTCATCATTCATATGAGCAAAAAGCAAGTTAAAGATAATAGGAGGATTGGTATGATTTGCGAGGATAAACTATTCTGTGTTCCTGTAAGACCAACCTGTTAAATTCTAAGCTGCGCATAGGGAGGTGAATAGTATGGATGATGGCAGCTTTTGGAGATCTCCATCTTCTAGTCCTAGATGTATGCATCCAAGAAAGCATTAGCATAGAGCAGTTGCCACAAATTATTCATCAAAGTTCCTACGTGGTTCAAGCTAGCAAGAATGGAACAACAAATAACATATACAACAGTCTCAGCTAGAGTATTATACAGTGCCAACCATAACCTAAGAAGCTTGAAAACTAAATAGAAATTGAGTTCAACAGTAAAATGCAGCCTATACATCAAAAGTTTATTATCTTTTTGTCAAAGATGTCAAGAAACTGACAGTAGATGGCTCTCTTATTGGAACTGTATAATAACAAAATAGCAATAACATATTTCAACTAAATGTTGGTACCCTTGGCATGAATCTGCATGGGGCATGCCAAAACTTTTCTGCCACTGTATGGCATGCTTCAACTCGTGGCAACATGTGTTGATCAGTACACAATTATGCATATACAATAAAACAAGAAAGAATTCCAGTGATATAAACATGTATAAGTCTTGTACATGTATGGTTCTTCTAGCAACATCTTCTAGATGGACAGGAATACTTTGCTTGTGAAATTTGTCAATATGTTATATTAACCTGTTTCTTCAAACTTGGATACAAAATACAAACTGCAAACTGAAAATGAGAATTTCTTGTAAGAAAGGTAAGTATGAACTCATCTCCTAAATCCTAAATCAAAGTAAAATTTGGAAGACCAACATCCTTAATTTGCCATTTAAGATTGAGATAAAAATAAACCTTTATACTTGTCCAATATAATTTAGTTTACAATGTCCTGACATTTGAAGTTTACAAACTTACCAAATCAGTTATGAGTCACTTGATGAGTGAGTGGCTACAGAACATCCCTGTAGGCATCCATTTCATGGATGGAGAGATCCACTCGCAATATAAAACAACACAGATAATAGATTCCTAGCATATCATTATGGACACATAAGCGATTAAGATGGAATAACAGTTGCAAAGGTCCCATGAAGAAACTCGAGGAAATCTTGCAATGCATGTGTACAAGTCATAACTTTCTCATGTCCACTGAGCTTGCCGATAATAAAAGGTACCCACGAGGCTTAGGACCATATCAAGTAGACTCATTTCTTTAGCTGGTGAGTTTTGAATATAATCTTTGGCTCAAAAGCTTCTATACCATAGTACCCTTCTCGTTAATTATTTTTAGACTTCTGCCAACAGTACATATGAAGGTTCTTGCTAATTTCCTACTTGGAAGTTTGTGGACATCTAAATGAGCATTATTGTTTGTATTCTTAAGAAAAAGTTGCCATTCCTTCTGCGTTGAAATTTGACACGAAATAAGTGCAATGAGGATCCTCTGTTTCGAAAGCAATCGACTTTCCAAACTCATAGCGCGCTCAATAGATTGTCATACTTTGCGAAAAAAAAATGACTTTGGCACAAGCTATGGATATCTAGTGATTAGCATGAAGTAGTGAAGTGATGTCACATATCTACGTTCAAATATTCCAATACTACATGAAACTTGAGACAAAACAGGAGTCAGAGAAGAAACATAGCACATTGACCCGGGAAACAAGCCAGAGTAAAACAAGGTCAACCTTTGGCAGGAGTCGTATGCCGCACGAAAAGGCTTCAGCCGAGATCTAAGAGCCGCCGCGGCATCGGCCGATGACAAGTTGTGGTTCGTTATCAGTAAAGACGCCATCCTCCGTTCTCTTCTATCTTCCTCTTGTCAAGTGGAGGAACAACAAAAACAACAAAGCCCAGAGAGTGATCAACCGTCTTACACAGGATCGGTGAGGAGACGTCGAACGATTCAACAAACGATGGTGGGAATGGCGATTCCGATGGAAATAGGGGTGGCGGTGGCGTCGGCGGCGGTTGAGAGGCAACGGAGCGGCGCAGCAGGCGAGAGAGCGGGTGTGGAATCCATGTGTCGGCGAGTTCTCGTCGATGTTTTAGGGGAGAAGAGAGGCGAGGTAGGGATGGAAACAGGGAGAGGTGGCGGGGGGCCAAGGGAGAAGGCTATGTCACAAGTCTTCGCGTCGTCGAGTCTCGCTAGGGTTTTAATATTTCTACCGCCTTTCTTCGCTCATTTCCTCCTTTCTTCCCGTGTGGGGCCCGCTGGGCCCATAGCTTCCGATCCAATAATTTGTCTTCCTCAAACGTATATTACGCGGCGCGTGGCGGAGGGAATGCGGTGGGGTGACCGAAGGACGGTTGGCTACCAGCCCGGCCCGTAATTGCCATTTGTTGTAACACCAATACCAAGAAACGCCGGTGGACATCGGAACATGCCAACATCAATGGCTACAATCCAAACACTATTACCAACGATTGGCTTATCCAACTACAGTGGCCCATGGTTTGATAAAGTATGTTCAATTTTACTTCGGTTAAAGGTTTGGTTGTTGAATAGGGGGATATGGATTCTAGTTTATCATAAATTTGATGTCGACCGATAAATGAGTTTAGCAATGGATTCTTAGAAAAGAACTATGTCCGGCGATAAAATTCCTTTAATATTTAAATGAGTAAGAGATTCGAAAGATCCGATCAAGTATCAAAAATGAAAAATATAATTTATTAAAAAGGGCTCAATGAAAACATATCTAGGGGCCTTTCATAGTGCGACATTTGATTGTTGGATTGAGTTATTACTTTTTTTTTTCTTTGGCAACATATGTGATTATGTAGTGCTGAATCTAGAAAAATTGAGGTAATGACTAGCTAAGTAAAATCTCTTATATCAATTTTCATAGGGTTAAGTCGATTGTCACATCACTCAAACGGTGATGATGCGTCACCCATCTGACATTAAGGTGTCGATCATGTGGTGTTAAGGTGTTAATCATATGGTGCTAAGTGTTAGCCACATGGAATTAAGGTAGTAGTCTTTCTAATGTTATTATCTCCAAATCACTTGCCCTCATCATGCCTTGGCATATACAATAGAGTTGTGACACAATGAAGATTCTATTTGACTACTGATCATAAGGATGATGATTCGGTCACCCTTTTATTGAAAAAGCATTTTGGGCCAATTTGATCATGTTATTATCAAAAAGAGTGGTTTGGGTTGATTTCATCGTATTATCGTCAAAAGGAGTATTTTAGACTAATTTAATTATGTTATCATATTTTAGGTCAATTCAATTGCATATCATTGAAAGAAGTGCTTTGCATTGATTCAGTTGTGTTATTATCGAAAAGAGTGTCTTGGGTTAATTTGGTCACACTATCATTGTAAGAACTTCTTTAGGCTGATCCATTTGTATTATTGTCAAGAGGAGCACTTTAGGTTGATTCGACCATATTGTCGTCGAAATAATACCTTAACTGATTTGGCATATCATCGAAGTAGTGTCTTAGATTAATTCAGCTGCATCATCATCAAAATAGCACTTTATGTCGATTTGGCCACACTATCGTTCAAAGGAGCCCTTTAGGCCAATTTGGTCGAGCTATCATTAAAAGGAGAGTTTTGGGTTAATCGATTATGCCATTATCACAAGGAATATTTTGGGCTAATTCAGCTGCACTGTTATTGAAAGGAATGCTTTGGGCCAATTACCATATTACCATTGAAATAGTGCCTTGGGCCGATTTGGTTACGTCATTACTAAGAGTTGCCTCTTCAAGTGGTTCAATCGTATTAGTATTGGAAGCCACCTCTTTGAGTGATTCAGTTGTGTTGGTATCAGTGTCATCTCTTAGATTTGTTTGATTGTGTTGGTGTCAAGAGACACTTCTTGGAGTGATTCGACCATATTAGTGTCGATGGTTGGCTATGTTAGTATTAAGAATTGCCTCTTCACGTAGTTTGATCATATTAGTGTCAGAAATTAGCTCTTCAAATAGTTCACCTGTGTTGGTATTGGGAGCTAGCTCTTCATGGGGTTTGACCATGTTGGTGTTGAGAATCATCTCTTTAGATAATTTTATCATGTTATTATTGGGTATTGCCTCGTCGAACGATTTGACCATATTGGTATTGGGAATTACTCAGTTTCAAGTTCACATTATCCCAACCAAAAGGTGGTATGATTCTAAGTTCACTTTATCCCACCAAAAGTTGGTATGATACAACCAAAACATTCCATATTACTGTTTAGCCCCAATGATAGCTCTTTTACTTAAGTGGTTCATACCATTATTTTGTTAAGTCATCCTTCTAATGCTATTCTATTAATGCAATATTTAGTTACATGACACGTAGAGAGGGTTCAAAGCCAACTTTGATCAAAATCTAAGTCTATTGTAAACTTGATGGTGGGAGATGAATGGGTTCGATAAGGGATCATGCAAAAAAAATTATATTAGGGCATATCCAGCAAAGTCCTTCCGATATTTAAATGTTTAAAAGACTAGGTCAAGTGTAGAATATAAAAGGCATTATTCACTAGAGAAGAGGGAGCCTCTTAAGAACATTCTTAGGGGCTTTTATAGTGCGATATTTGATCATTAGATTAAAGTCATGGTTAATGCTTGGAATAGTTATGTGCTTTCTTTGGCCACATATGTTATCGTATAGAGCTGAATCGAGGGAACATGAAGTGATGACTAATCAAATGAGTTCCTATGTACTAATTTTTGTATGTCTTTGTCAATCGCCACATCACTCGAAGGGTGATGATGCATTATGTCATCAAGGTGTTAGCCATATAGTTGTGAGGTATGACTATATGATGTTAAGGGGTTAGTCATATTACATTGGATGCCAATCACATAACATTGAGGTGTCGATAGTCCTCTTATGTATTATTCTCATATCACTTACCCATATCATTCCTTGGTACATGTAGTGGAGTTGAGGCACAATGAAGTTTTTGTTTGATTATTAACTATAAGGAGGACGATTCGTCCATCCTATTATCGACAATGTTCATTGGGCCAATTTACTCATGTTGTCATCGAAATGAGTGCTTCGAGTTGATTCGATCAATTATCGTTAAAATGAGTGCTTTGAATTGGTTTGAGTATGTTATCATCGAAAGCTCACTTTGGGTCGATTCGACTATGCTATCATTATAAAGAATGTTTTGGTCATATTCAATCGTGTTGCCATTAAAAGTTGAATAAACATAAGGGTTTTCTATAGTGTGGTACTTGATTATTGGATTGAGATCATAATTAATGCTCAAAATAGTCACACGCTTCTTTCAACCATATATACAATCGTGTAGCACTAAATCCAAGAAACATGGAGTAACGATCGATTAAGTAAGATTCAGTGTACCAATTTTTTGCAGGGCTGAGTCGATCACCATATCACCCGAATGGTGATGATATAGTGTCATACGATTGTCACCTTAGCACCATGTGCCAACATCTCGACATCACGTGGTTGACACCTCATCGTTATATGACCAACACCTTGTTGTCAAATGAGCGATACATCATCATCCATTGGGTGATGTGACGATCGACTCAGCCCTATGAAAATTGGTATATGAGATCTGACTCAACCAGTAATTATCCCATGTTCCCCGAATACGATGCTACGCGATCGCATATGTGGCTATTGAAAAAGCGTAATCATTTAGAGCATTAATCATGACCTCAATTCAACGATCAAAAACCTTATTATAAAAGACATCCCAGGTATGTTCTCAACGAGGCTGTCCATCCTCGATGAATTATACCTTTAATATTTGATACTTAATCAAATACTTTGAACTCTTACTCATTTAAACATCGAAGGAATCTCATAGGGTATATGATAGATAAGGACTCCAACCAAGATTGACTTCGAAGAATTCCTTTTGTGTATCCGACAATTGAATTCTGTTTTCACATTTTCACAAAATATTGTGCTATCAAAAGCGTTTTGAATAAGACCACTGGGATGCCAATTGTGTCATTTTCTTTTGGCTATCTGAATACGTGAATGGCCTTAGAACAGTTACCCAAAGTACTTAAGCTTGTGGTCAGTTGCAATGTATCTCATCCTGATCATAACACAAAAAATAAGTCGATCAGAATGAATAAACTTCATGTCCCCAATCCACCAGACCGAAACAGATGTCCTGAGTAAACACATCCAGCATCGTGAATCTTCATTCACAGAAATGCTTGAAGAAATAGCTAAACAAGCAACCGATTAAACTCTTCTCTACGCTACATGGTCAAGTTATTGATCTGAACTGGAATCCATGACTGCCTCGATCTGTGGTTTCCGGAGTGGGATACTGCTGCTGCAGTAGAAATATGTGAGGATTGACTGATGTTTCTCCAGGATTTAAGCTGTTTGAAGAATGAGCATCGGTCAGTCCTGCAGCAGCAAGCTTCAAGTGCTGGACTTCTGCAGTCAGAGCCTCGTTTAGAGCTGCATGATGGCACAAGAACAGCTTCTGATGTAATTATAATTCCAATCACCAAACACCAACTAGCAAGTGATAGCATTTACCATCTCTCAATTGTGCCTGTCGTTCCATAGCCTGAAGGCGAAACTTCAGCTCAGTGTTCTGATTTGTGAGGCCAGCTGAGTCTCTCTGTGGATAATCAGAAGAAACGTAAGAAAATGAAGAAAACAAACCACAAGAAAAATCTTGATCAAGAACGGAGAACGAGACTCACTTGCAATGAAGTCAGCTGTGTTGACAGAGTGGTGGTTTCTGTCTGCAATGCCTGCACCTTATGTTCCAGCTCTGCTATATACCTCGTCTTACGCTCCTTGGAACGCGCAGCAGACTGCCGGTTGGCTAATATCCTGAGATAACGAGATCAAGTCAGAGAGCGTTCATGTAATCAGAACATGTCCTTTTAGTGTTGGAAGATGAACGAATCCACGGAACCTCTTGACACGTTTAGGATCGGTCCTTGCCATCTCGACCAGCTTCTCGTTCTCCATGATCTTCTTCATCTCGACACCACTGAAGTGGCCGTTGCCAAACTCCAAGCTGAAGGTGTTCGGCGCCGCGTGCCCCGCTCGTGATCCGGGAAAAGGCAGCGGCTTTGGCGGCTCCTCCACGAAGTTGAACTTGCCCACGAAACTATCCATCGAAAGACTCCGACTGTGCCTAGAAGCTGCCATGACCTGAGCAGGATCACCTGCAGCATTTCGTTTTAACCCTTCCTTCCTGGAGGCATCATTTGCGCGGAGTCCAACACTACAACTGCCACCAGTGTGTTCCTTCACGTTGCTATCTGCTTCGTTCTCGCTACTGTCAGCAGCATTCGTCTTGGATCCGCTGTCTCTGCTGTCAAAATCCTCGTGATTGTCCTCGGAAGAATTTAGCGCATCGAGGCCATCGAGATTCATGTAAGCGTTGAACAAGTCGTCGCCCGTGACACCAGCGGCGTCCAATCCGCGGTTCCAGTCGATCTCCACCTTCACTGCGGCCGCCGTCAGCTTAGCAGAGTCCAGGAACCCCGCGGCGAGGGGAGCGGCATCTTCGGCCTGCACGGGCTGAGACGGCGAAAGGAAGGCGAAGGGGACGTCGCTCTGCGAGCGCCTATGTGCCTTGCGGGGTGGAGGGCCTTCCTTGGTCCGGGCAAGGTCGGCGGCGCAGGATGCAGCGTTACAGGGCGGGAGCGGCGGGGAGTGGGAGCTGCGAACGTGGTGCTCGTCCATGGAAACATCTGCGGTCGGCGTGGAGTCGACGTTACAGCTCGGAGACTGCAGGGAGTCGAGGGAGAAGACGGTCGGTTGGGAGCGGGAGTGGGAGTGGAGGTGGCCGGCCGGGGGCAATTGGTGAGCCATCGGCGGCAAGCGAGGGGCGGGGAACAGGAATTTGCCGGCCTCCGCGGCATTGCTGGAATACTGTTGTTGTTTCAAGCGGGGCAAGAACGGGTTCCCCCGTAACTGCTGCATCAGCTCGTTGCCACTTTCCTCCATGCCTTTCATACCAACGGAGCCACAAGTAGCTTAGAAGAACAGAGAAAGAAAAAGGAGATCGCGATGTGACAGTTCGCAGAGCATCTATTAAATGATGGGGAATGGTAGCACACCGGTTTGTGCCGTGAACGATTTGTCGCAGCCTCTTGACCGTGCTTCTTACCTTCAACTTTTATCTCGGGGAAGTGGAGAGGGCGATGCAACATGGGATGCGGCCAATCTGGATCAGATGATAGACAAGATGGCCGCTTTTGGAATCTCGCGAAAGCGAGCACACCCAGTGACCGTGTGCGGGCCAGGCGTCGTTGCGTCGTGCGTGCACTCCACCGGCGGTGGGAAGGCCAGGATTTGAGCATCTCGAGAGTGTGTGAGAGTGCATGTTACCATGTATTATTGCATTCGGACATCTGGGGGAGTCAGTCGAATCGATGCAGCTGTGATGCCGCGTGTGGAGTGGCGCTCACATTGCTCGACGTGCATTCGACGTACGCGTATGGAGACGTGGATCCATCGATGGATACTTCATTCATTCGCCGAGGTGGTGGTTAGCGGTGCTGCTTGCCCTTTTACGAGAGGAGTGACGTAGATGAGACCACGAGGAGGGGACGATGGGGTGGGACCGCCCTCGTGAAGCAGCCCTTCACGTGGGCCTTCTGCCATGCTGCACAACCGATGATTGTTCCAAACACACGCCGACGCGTGTCCGAGTGTCGCATCCTGCGACGGCACCGTCGCTAACGTTTTGCACCGCTAGTATCTTCCTGCGCGGAGCCAATTCCCAGGCACCCGGTCGCATCAGGTGCTTATGGGTCATCGACGGGTCGAGCCCAAGCTGCCACCACTGATCGAGAAATCAAAACAAGAACGACGACGCATAAACACATCCTATTAGGCGCATTCACAGTTCCAATAATAAAAAGGCAACAGAGAAGAAACAAACAACGTTTTGGCGACTAATTAGTAGTGCCAACGAACCACCTGCACAAGTTGGCCAACGCATCATGACACACCTCTTCGTTCGGGTGCTACGAGAGAGTTGGACCTCGTCGTCATCCTCCTTGTATTTGGACCGATCATCAAGCTCTGAGCTGAACTTTGTGTGCCATTCAGCAGATGAGGATGAAGCATGTTACAGTATCTCCGGACACTCGTATACGAGCTCTTTATGAGATTTTAGGGTTTCGGAGACCTTTAGATCGGTTTGATTAAACGTCTTCAATCAGTTATGTGCTTAAGATATTGAATTCGATTAGTTTGATATTTTTTAAAATCGATTCGGTTCAATCCGAACTGATTAATTGATATGAAAAAGAATACTCTCAAATTAAAATTGTTTATAACATTCGAAATCAAAGTATTGATGAACAGATCCAATTTTAATTTTATTCAGTTTTTTTGGAGCCAATTTGAACCGTGCTGACTGCAACTAAAGGTGAGATCGTTTGCTTTGATCAGTTGAAAATAAAACGGATTAAATTAGAGGATAATGATTTCATGATTGGAAGAGTCAGATTAGTGGCTCATAACATAGTAAGCTTAAACCTTGAATTGAATTATTATCGATAAAATAATAATATGTTCGTCTCTAATTGCATCGATGGTTGAGTGGCAGCATTTAATGTACTAACTAGTCGTTGAGACAGAGAACAACAATAGGACCGGTAACAACATGTATCACATTGTCATGAACTTAGCTAGTTTTGTCTAAATTGTGCGGCACCTTTGCATGTCAATCTGTAAAGATCAGCCTCCCCAAAACCTCTCATGATCCCTTAGGATCTACAAAAGAGAAAACGAATTAGAGAAAACACCTTACCTGCGATCCACAAGCAAACATTCTATGAAACACTTCGTAAACAATGCAAATTACAAACAGATTTTAAATGGTTACATAACAAAGGGTTAAAATGGTCCACTACAAATCGAATATCTCTCACAAGTATTCACATGACACAACCTTTATTTACAAACCTAAGAATGCTACCAAACCCAACTAAAATAGGGCTTTTAAGTCTTCAACTGTCCCTCTACATGTTGTGCAAAGTATGAACAAACCAAAAGACACAGACATATATAAGTATTACATCAAACATATCCGTGACAACATGATACCCTGGGGTAAACACTTAGGATACTAATTTGGATCGTCATGAGTGGATCCATCCATCTAGCATCCGCATCCGGATCCAAAAAGTAAACGGATTAAAATGAGGATCTGTATTCGAAATTTCAAAATTCAGTTGGGATACCGATCGATGCTGGTTACTGATCCGATAATATAGTGGCCTCGGAATGAGGGCTCATATGCTTTAGGTGGGGTTCAATGGGGCTTAATGTTTAGGTATTGGCAATTCGAACCAGTAGATGTGAGGTTGGATAAGATTTAGACCAAATAGCAGCCGGGCCGTCTCCCTCAGCACCATCAACTCTAATCTTCATCATAACTTCATATGGTCGGTCAAATGACGTTGATTGCTATGGAGACTGGCAAACGCGAAGCCATGCATAATAGTAAAAGCATAAGTCTTCTCATGAGGTCAAGCAGCAGAGTATAACCACACCATGTAGTAGTAGTAGTCAAACAAGAAATGGACCCTCAACGCCGAAGTGGGCGGAAGAGCCATCAATTCCTTGCGCATTCTCCAGCAGGGGAGCCAATATGGCAACGGCTGCGAGCTCACCGACCCGCGTCCATCATGGCATCCTTCTTCCGTTCTTTGTCACCACCCATATCTCAGCAGCCGAATGGTTTGCACCCCCATTTTTCCTCTCTCTCTCTCTCTCTCTCTCTCTCTCTCTCTCACATCGGAGTCCTCTCCTATCTTATTGTTCGGTGCGGTATACGGACCAAAGTGCACAGAGCGAGTCGTATAAATAGATTAATTCACGTACATGTCTTCTTTGATAAGATTAATTCAAATAATTAGGATTAGCTAAGATAAAAAATAAAAATAAAATAAATAGATTAAAATAAAAAAAAGAATTATTATGATATGATAGATTTTTTTTATTATTTTAAAAATTTATACTCTATCTTTTAATCAATATAAATATGTGTTTTTGGATCAATCCAAATTAAAAGTACTCTGACTTTTTTCTACCATTCTCTTTCTTTTCTCCCTAAAATATTGTAAAAAGGTCAACAGTATGGTATGAGGTTCAAAAAGATCAACATGAGTACATCAATTAAAAAAAAAATGAAGATTAGTATATCCAAAATTTGATATTATTTTTATTACTATAGAAGAAGCTAAAGATACTATCGATGAATTAATGGACTCCCTTTTAGTTCATAACATAATTTTCAAATGAAAATAGATCAGAAGAATGATAAAAAAAAAGTTAGAAATCAAACATCAAAGGAGAGATCAAGATGGTAGAGGATGTAGTCGATTAAGTGAGAGTCAGATGAACTCTAATGAAGATAGCAAAAATCCATTGATATTTTTATTGCTAAAAAATTAAATATATTGAAAAAGACTATTAGTACAAAAATAAAAATCAAAATATTCCTCTATACTCTTACGGTGAAAAATATGATCAATCTTGAAAAAGATTGTTAGAACAAAAAATAAACAAATTATCAGGAGAAAAATAATGATGAAAAAAAGATGAGAAAAATATTTTAAATCTTTTTAGTTTTCGGATAGTGGATGCAGTAATATTCTAAAGACTTGATGATTCAATTAGATCTATAGTACAAATGGGAAACGAAAGCAATATTTAAGTGTAAGAAAAACGAACAATTACTATCAATACCAAATCTAGTAAAAAATTTATTGATTATATGATATTTATTTTTTATTTAAAATAAAATCTTATTAGTATATGACAATTGATGAGAAAAAATATTATGTTATTTTTTATGATGAAAATTACTTGATTTATTATAAGAAATTTAGAAAATTGATAATAACTATAAGGATGAAAAAAAATAAAATATTTTTTTTTATTATTTTTGGATTTCTCCTTACATGCATACATTAAATTGATAAGAGGGCAATAAGCTAAGAAGTCTCAAACATAAAAAGATAATAATAGTTCTGATAAATCTTCTGAGAAAAGTGAAGATGAGCAACCATTAAAGATTTCGAAGAAGGTTAAGAATGAAAAAATGATGGATATAATTCCAAAGAGTATAAAATAAACTACTACAAAGTTTGAAAAAAAAGGGTCCAAAAGTTCTACTATAAGTCAAACTCGAACTCTTCAAAAATCTATCAAAACTTAAAGAAGACTTTCAATCAAGAAGACTTACAAAACTATGGAACTAATTGATAAAGAAAAAATTCAAATAAACTATTACAAATACCAGTTTGTCACTATCTTCACAAAAGCGGAAAAGATTTATTTTTTTTGAAGACAACTTCAAATTATATCTATTTGAATTAAAGGGGGCGTGATAATATTAATTTAAATAGTTAAGATTAGATAAAATATAATATAAAAACTTAGATTTAAATAAATAGATTAGGATAAAAAGATTTATTGAGAGATGATAGATTTTTTTATTATTTTAAAATTTTATGTTTTATTTTTTAGTTAATATAAGTATTTATTTTGGATCAACCCAAAATACTTCAGATTAAAAATACTTTTAATATTTTTTAATTGTTTTTTATCTACAGTAGTTATGCAGAAAAATCAACAGTCTTGTCAAAGGCCAACATTCTTCAGCGTCGGTCGGGGTCCGTCACCGCCATGTCCAACTGCGTCGTACGCGTGGCAGAACGGAGGCTGGTGGTGGTAACGCCGTAATGATGAGGCCTAGTGCTCATCATCGGATTGGAAGCTGGGATGTCGCGGCCGCCACGGCCGTCCGAAGTGGACGACATGTCGGCGTCGCCCGGCGCCGTCCCACTTCCGTGGCATCTCTCTCTCTCTCTCTCTCTCTCTGCGCGCCTTATTCTGCAATAATACATTTGCTAGGCAAATAATTAACATGGTAAGGGTGGCGAGGTTTCAGGAAAGGACTCAGCTTTTGTTGCATGGTATATATATCTTAAAGGAGCTTTTAATTGGCAACAATCTTCTTATACATTAATTTCTTTATTAAGCAGCCATCAGACTGTGCCACCGGCAGCCAATCATAACCGGGGAAGAGTGTCAGAGATCTCTCCCAACTGGACATTATTTATTTTCAGAAGGTTTCAAAATGCTATTAAAAATAATCCACAGTGAACTGCTTGAATGGCAGCCACTTCAAAACTTCTCTCGTAAACTAATGTAACCTCTTGGACGAGAAGTACTCGACCGATGTTATGGCCGACCACATTTCCATGTAGATATCTCCCTATCTTGGTTTCTAATTTTGTCTCAGAATACTTTCTTTAGGATTCCCTTTTATCCAGTCACTGATGATGTGTCCTCCTCCTTTGCGAAAGCCTTTAGATTTTCTATAAGGTGGTCACCGAACACAACCGGACAACCACCACAAATCTGCCACACGACCGACATCCAATGGCTCACGCTTTGTTCTTCGTTGCACATCTTGAGCAGCTCATTTAGCTTCACATAAGAGCATGCGTTAACTCCCACAAAAATTATCATCATAGCCTTTCACATGCTTACTGAAACAACGCTTCAGAATATGATCATGGCATCACATAATTGGAATTAATTTTGCTGGAAAATAACATCTGAATATGTTCATGAGAAGCGTGAAGTTAGAAAAATAATAATCTCTTTGAAGTTAATTATCTAAACGTGATTAAGCTAATAATCTCTTTAAAGCCATTAATTATCCTCTGCTTGAAAATAAAATAATAATAACAATAATAATTTGATATGCGGGGTAAGAGTCACCGCTGTGAGAGTAAGACATCACGGTCCTTCGATTGGTGGGTCTTCCATGTCTCTTCAGTCTTCACCATCATTCCGCCAGGCTTGGCTTGATGCCATCTACTTTCTTAGGCTTCGAGTGTAAGACCATGGTCCTAACCTCATGTATTGTTTATGTCTCATAGCTATCCTTTTGAGAAAAGAAAGCACGAAATAATTGATGATTCATTAGAGTGGGGATTTATACTTGATAGAGGTGGATTATAGCTTCATCCCAACTATCTACAATTGTATCGGTATATCTTACTTATGCTCTCACAACATTTAATGGCAAGTAGCAATATTAGTATCCAGTTTTTGGCCTTAGGTTTCTCATCCCGAGAATGATTTATTGTGGAGACACGATGCCCAAGTATTCAACCGAGGTAATTTTCTAGACTTCATCGGAAACCAATGTCATGCAAACAAATAATTAAGTTTGAGAGTTATTCCTTGTTCTTGACATTGTATAAACTAATATGATATATACTTGAAAAATAGAAAGAAAAAAGAAAGAGAGAGAGAGAGAGAGAGAGAGAGAGAGAGAGAGAGAGAGAGAGAGAGAGAGAGAGAAGGAGAGAAGTTTGTAATCTCCTCCTTTTACTTGATAAAAGAGTTATACCATCTAAAATAAAGTATATCATAGTAAGTATGGAAATTATGTATTTACCCTGACAAGTTTGAACACCATGCACGCCTATAGTAGAAAGGCTAGCTCTTGAGTGTGAAGGGAGCATATTTAAGATCGAGCACTGCAATGGTTGACTTGCTTCGGGGTGTCTTGGCTTTGACCATGGCTCATCAAGGTCAAGAAACTTGACCCCCTGGCCTCATTAAGTATGTGGAACTGGAATCACGGAAGAGGAAAAGTCGATCGATTATTATATCGTCAATGGTTGGATCACTGACAAAGCTCTTTGTTGTCAAACTTCTCGATTATGCTTTGAGCATTGATTTCTGCTACCACCGAGTCAAGATGGGCATCATCAGATGAGTACAGCCAATGAGGGTAAGACAGAATGTCAACCAACCGAGACGGAGAAGCCTGAAATATGGAATCGATGGAAGCTCACATCGGTGTTGCTCTCACCCCGAACACTGTGCCCATCTGTGTACGGGGTTCCCCGACCACTTTACATTCTGCAGCCAATAAACTACGTCGATGTCGAGGGATTACCAGCTCGAGATGGGATGGATAATGGTACCGGAGGGGGAAGGCAGGGAGGAGTCTTGTATGATAAGATGGTTGAAAAGCACTCGAGGGATGGTGGTGGGAAAGAGGAATTAGGAGAAAGGTCAAAAGCTTGGGAAGGTGTGCATACATGGAGAGAGAGAGAGTGTGTGTGTGACGTCACTAAATGGGGGACAGGTCCGTCGTTTCATCAACCCACGCGTAATCGAGCGGTAAGGGGTCCTCTCTTTTCTGTACACCCTCCACCTTCTCCTTCCTCCTCTCTCTTCTTAAGACAAAGCTTCTAACTCTTTCTGCAGCTCGTCTCATTCCAAAAGTTGCCTCTCTCTCTCTCTCTTTCATAACCTTGTTATTCAGCAAAAGTATAACCAGCGCTGTTGAAAGTGTCTGAAGGTATGTGTCAGCCATTGTGATAGATATGTATCGATGTGCCTGCTTTCTCCTTTCCTCTCTCCTTTTCTCCTCACTGATGCAATTCTGACGTTGATTTCCTTGGTTACAATCTTCTTCGTCATTTCAGGATGTTAAGATCATCGATTGATCTCTAGTTTTCTGTGTCATGAACCATTGATATCTAAGCATAGCTATCGTTTTACCTTGTTAGGGTTTCACCTGTATAAACCTGAAGATCTTAGATATTTCTTGATCGTTACAGTCTTTATCCATTTAGAACAGGCAGCTGGTACAGGTTTGTATCTTAGGGTTTTCAGATATATCATGAATAGGCCTTTAGACTGTCGATTTAGAGTGCATATTGTGATCAAGTGTGGGATTTTCCTATAGATATACATCTTAACAGATGTTCTTCCAGATGATTACAAACTCAGCCAATTATAGGATGCCGCAGCAGTTGGATTCTAGAACAAGCTAGGTATAACCTAGCAGCAGCAAGATCTTGTTCACTCAGACTTGGCTACTGCGGATTGTCAACAAGAACAAAAGATCTTGCAGGATACTAATACATGTTCCCAATATATGACCTCTGCGACAACAGAACACTCGAATTGTAGAATCAGAAACATTAGTCTTATCATGTTTCTACTGAGATGCATGCAGGTTATGAAGCTTTCAATTCTTCTTTTTTATGATTCGTGAGGTTTGGTGATCACGCAAAAGGATTTATCTTCAATAGATCGCGGAATTTTCTCCTTTCGATAACACAAAAAAGAGCTGCTATTTTAATCGACGTATCTATTATTTCTCTTCTCGTTGGTGAGTCTTCTTGCTTCCGGCACACCCAGGAGGAAGATGGACCATTCTAGCTAGGGTTCCTTCCTTGCTGTAATAAGTTATGCTGCCAAGGCCACGGTGCAAAGGTGTGCCATGGAATTCCAAGACAAGGAGACAAGGGAGTCAGTCGTGGCGAGCCAAGCTCGCCCCTTTTTAGCTCCTCCTCGGCAGGCCTGACCTCAGAAAAGTCGGCTTCCCCTCCCTCCATCTGCCCTTTTTTGATCCCACCACAACCCCCATCTTGTTCTTCTCTTTAGATTTCCCTCAGACAAGAAGCGCGTGCTCTCTTTCCTAGCAAACGTCAGCCACTTGTCGCCATGCTTGTTGGGACCTTAACCTGCACTCCCTTGCTCCGTGCAGCATCCAATACTAAAGCTTATCCGTCACATAGAGTAAATATTTCTCAATGCTCTGTAACGGGCTATATGTAGAACATCATTAAGATAGTAGCTGGCAAACCTCTAGCTGCAATTTTGTCTCGTAACTTACAGAGTGTAGGAAATACATGAACACTTAGAGGAGAGAGATTGTTTTTGGGATCCAAAACCTAATGATCCTTTATATATTTATTTCAATTCTTGATGTAATTAATATCTCGTACGCCAGCCGGCAATCAAAATGCTCCTTAGGTACCCCACGAGGCATTATCCAAAATAAAATGATCAGAAATATTCTCCAAGAAGGAGGCAAAACCGAACTTGAAGTTTAGGTACATCCAAGTTCTCGTGCCAGAAGTCATGATTCATCAAATAGAAGGACCAACCTGTGAAGACAATGAGTACTTTTCTTTTTGTTGTTGGGTTGCTGTTGTCCACCTGCCTGCTGCTACTCCACAGTTCACCTTACAACCATGTCAATCGTCAAGGAGTCCTCTCTCGTTCTGCACCACACTTTCCTTCCTTCCATCTTATATTATGTATTGAGCTATGATTTTATTTTTCTGGACTTAGAGAGTACATGGTGCAGACGAATGATTTCCACCATTCACATTCAAGGGACAGCATCATAGCAGGAACTACTGCATGTCCCTGGCTTCCTTCAGACTTCCGTGCACTCCTGACTCCCACAACTTCCTCTTGATTTCAGGAAACCACATGCCAAAGATTGTTAAGTCCACATCCTTTGTAGGATGGAGAAGCACGAGTTCATCGAAGAGCTTCCTTTTTATAGCGTTATCCTTGTTTACGTCTTGTTAAAGTGTTGACGAATTCGATGCAGACGATGGAATCGTGTGTTCCTCCAGGGTTCAGGTTCCATCCCACAGACGAGGAGCTCGTTGGCTATTACCTTAAGAAGAAGGTGGCTTCTCAAAAGATAGACCTGGATGTTATCAGAGACATTGATCTCTACAGAATCGAGCCATGGGATCTCCAAGGTTAGTAGGGCAACAATTAACTATCTATTTTCCACGTAAAATTCTCGATGTGAATGCAAAAAGAGATTATGATGATCTTTTTCTTCCATATTCTCAATGTTCGAAGAACGGTGTCGGATCGGATACGAAGAACAAAGTGAGTGGTACTTCTTCAGCCACAAGGACAAGAAGTATCCAACCGGTACAAGGACGAACAGGGCAACGATGGCCGGGTTCTGGAAGGCAACCGGGAGAGACAAGGCGGTGCACGACAAGAACAAGCTCATCGGCATGAGAAAGACCCTCGTCTTCTACAAAGGAAGGGCACCAAACGGGCAGAAGACGGACTGGATCATGCATGAGTACAGACTCGAATCCGAAGAGAACGGACCACAACAGGCAAGCTCAAACTTCACCTTGACCTTCCCCTCTATCATGCTCATTTAGCTCACGCAGTAGCAAAGTTGCCCACGACTTGTTTAGAAGAAACACTTTCTGAGCGTGCACCAACTTTTTTTGAGACAGGTCAATCCACTTGCTTCGTTTCTGCTGCTTCCACAGTTCCATTTAGAGGGCAAGAATGAAGCTTTTGTTCTTGAGTAGTGCTTCTCATAACTTTCCAAAGAAAACTATCAAATGAGGAGTGTCTTAGATTGTTGCTTCCGTGCATTAAAAGCTTATACTCCTCTCAGAAATTAGTAATCTACTTCCTTTCTTTGAAGAGTTATGGATCGACTATGTGACATCTTCTTCTGCTCATATCCCCATTCACAGGAAGAAGGATGGGTTGTATGCCGCGCATTCAAGAAACGAGCCACCTCCCCCACAAGGATCTTAGACGACGTTTGGAGCTGCAGCTACGGCTACGACTACGTCGGCAGGATGAACTCCATGATCGATCCGATGATACGTCTCCAGAAGCAACCCGTAACACTTCACTGCAAGCAAGAGACAGAGTCTGACGAACTGCGTTACTTAAACTCCAACCAATTTGTGAAGCTCCCTCAGCTCGAGAGCCCATCCCTGACACCGGCGACTCGACCGAGCTCGAAGATGACGGTGTTGGAGGAAGAGGATGAGGAGCAAGCGAGGACGCCGAATGGCATGGAGATTGTGACCGATTGGAGGGCGCTCGACAAGTTCGTGGCGTCCCAGTTGGGCCAAGAGGGCAGTAGTTCCGTGAGCGCACAGGTCGTCTCAGATTTTGTCGGAGATAATGACTCGGAGATGGCGCTGCTGTTGCTCCAGAGTGAGACGAAGGAAGTGGGAAAGTTCAACGCGTTCCGTAGCTCCGGTGGGCCGAACTGTGAAACAGGCATCTGTATATTCGAGCAGTGAGTCTATGGAATGTATTATGGTTTGATGACTTGATCACGACTGTCATTTCTTCTTACTAATTAATATAAATGAAGCTTTGGATGACATTATTAGATATCTACATCTATTTATATAGAAGAAAAATATATGATTCATATTGGATTAGGACATTGAGCTCAACACCGTCATGACAGGAATCAAAATTGACCCATCCAAACCCTCATATCACACATTGTAGACGGGCGACCGGACTCATGAGTCCGGTTCGAGTCAAGAACTGTTCGGTTGTTATTTCGTGGTCGGGTCGGATTGCAATCAAGCACACGTTGCTTGGTAGTATGATCTTTGGTCCAACTCGATGTACGTTGACCCGGTGATTGATCGGGTCACGTTTCGACCAAACCGAGCCGACCTTAATATGACATCATGATGCTGGTGATGTCGCCACAGCCACCGTCCCGATCAGGTCGCGCGCTCCCGTTTGGCTCTCGTCCATCATGTCGTTGGCCGGCGGTCACCGGCGAGGCTACGCGTGGGCGCTCTCCGCCGGCCTAAATGCCGCCCTGGCCGCCGTCTCCGCGAAGTTCGTCCCTTCTCAGGTAAACGCCGCCTCTATTTCCTTCCGTCGCATGGAACTGAGGTCCTCATCTAACACAAGAACAAATTCATAGCATTCTCTATCTCCTCCTTCATTGATCTTTTATTTCCAATCCAGTTCGACCAACAACGATTCGCCAGATCGGCGACAGAGAATTGGGATCTGGTTTTGGTTCACCAACGTGGTCCTGATGTGAGATTTAGTTAACCTAGACGTAATATTTGGTGTAGATTGGGTATCCAAGAAGAAACAAATAGTCCTGATTGAGCCTATATATTCGTTTAATTGGCCTGATATGTCATCGGTTTTACTTCCTCAAAACAGTTGAAGATGTTGAACAATTTTCATTACAAGTTAACAGTTATTTTCTTGATAGTAAGAACAACATCAACAGATTTTCTAGAGAGTTTTCTTTTTTTTGGTGCAGTTTGAATGTGGAAAAATTATCCCTTAATGATGAATACAAGCAGGAAAACCCCGTTTTTGCTATGCCAGACCGATTGTCTCTGATAAGAACCAATCATTTTCACAAAGAGGACGCTTAACGAGTAGCACGTACGATATGCTACCAACTATTGCATTAATTGCACTTTTTTCACAAGAAATCTTGCATATGTAAAGTGTCATCAGGCTAATGAATCTGCATATATGAGTAGATTTTTATTCTGAGCCGGACCAAATATGTTAAGGCTGTTGCTGAACCCCTGGTTTACCTGAAAGTATGTTGCATAAAAAGTGGCATGAATTGAAACATACCCTGGTTAGTGGGTAGCCTGGATTCGTTTTGAAATTTACAAAATATAAGTCAAATATGAAATATGTGTTATGAACATTCAGAAACAAGTTGATTTAGGACCAACCCAAGCACTGCTAGTGATATTTTAATTCCATGCTTTGTTTGCCTAGGTAGTGTCTTCTAGGAATTAAATTATCTGGTTATATCTGCTCATGTTGTACTGTCCTAACAAGTAGGCGATACAGCAGTCAGATGCGCTGATGCATCTGGAGGTGCTCTCATGCTGCACTGTATCTGATAGGAGTTACATAGTCAGTGCTTGGACAACCAAGTTCTCCTAGTGACTACTTTAACTAGTCCTCATTGCTTACAACCATCATATGTTCTTGATCAGTGGAAAGAATTGACTGTTCTTTCGCTTTATAATAAATATGGCTTAGTACATGAGCCTCTTGCCAAATTCAGATTCTGGGAAGGATCTATGTAAACAGCCTTATCCCCATACATAGAGAGACAATTTTTGTGAATTGGGCCTAATTACCCATATCACAAAGGAACAACCTTCCTATTGTGCTAAGGCCTGCCTTCTAATTTCCCATTGCTCGATAATATGTTTCCTATTGTCCTAATTACTTTATAATGTGTTTCATATTTTGTACTAGTGTATCCTGTACTTTTAAATACAAGTCACATTCACAGTTGCATTACGTCATACAGTATGTAATTGCTTGATTGCCTTTATGCTAGATCCAGTTTTCAGAACTTTTTTCATTCAACGACCTTAACCCAAACAAAAGGAATTTTCCAATCCAAGTGGAATTTGTTGATCGAGGCATTACCTTCTACATTGTCATATGGCTTGTTGTTGACCTGAGATCAATCTTCTTATTAGGTATCACTTCCAAGAATTTTGGTTTGCTTGAGAATTCTGAAGCTTCTTGTTGGAAGGTTATTCGGATCATTTGCTTGTTTGTCATCCGAATCCTATTTTGAATATCGTAACAAACTGTTTTGAAAAACTTCATTCAAAGATGCAAATTCCTAGTTAATACTCTGGAAGCAAAACACTATTGATACTTGTAAACAATTTTTGTAAAACATGTCATAAATCTAACAACACACACAAGAGCCATGCACTCATTATATTCAGATGTCATTGAACATTTTGATAGCTAAGTTCCACGACACTTTATCTTTCCCTTGTAATTTTATTCAAAAATTGTGGCTTGCTTTCATTATCTCATCAAGTTTTTTTCTGCCCTTTATTTGAACATGCTTGCTATAGTGCATCATGTCATGTTCATTCTTTTTCCTCTCAAGATTTCTCAAAGTTTCCTGTCCTCATTTTGGGTTTATGTCAAACCCAAGTCTTTTGTAGAACTTCAACAAATCTTCCATTGATCCTTCTCAAATTTGAATTAATCCATAGCTCACTGTAAATTGTCTTGAAAAATATCTCAGAAATTCTTGCAATTATCCCAGACTGATTCACTCTGGTTGGCAGTGTCTTTGAATTAATTACCCTTAAATTTTTGTACTAATCTTTGTGCATGTTCTACCTTCTACTGACACATCTTCCGTATTTTAACCTTGCAGTTTCCTAGATATGGCCTGGTTATATTGTTCAATGTCATTATGTGGGGCTGCTATGTTAACAGCCTTAAAGCTCTGTCGTCTCTGCAAGCTACTGTCACAAACTTTGCAGCTAATTTCCTAACTTCAGGTCTAGCAGGATTTTTCCTCTTTAAAGAGCCCCTTTCTTCACAGGTAACCCAGTGATTCAGATGCATACTTTTCCGCACAATCTATAGATGTATCTGAACAGAAAAGATGGTTGAATTTGGCCTTTCTGCAGCTGCTCTTCCTAATAGTTCATGGAAACTATAAGGATCATGAGATTTTCCATTTGAAATAAAAACCATGATAAACTATTTTTATTTGCAAAATCTTGGTGGAAGATAAGTTTGCCATTCAACTACTTTCTAATATGCTAGTTTTCACACCATCTTAGTTAGCCTGGGACAAAAACATGTTGAGGCATGACTTGCCATATTGAGCAATTATTTCATTTCCTGCTCTTGATTTCTACTTCTAACATGTGTTCCTTAATCGTCAGTGGTTTGTAGGTGCCTTTTTCATCATACTAGGTGTTTTTGTCCTCAGCAAATCCAGCAGTCCTAGAAAACTAAGCTCAGATTAGGAGGTGCTCAGGACAAAAGCAAATCCGAAGTGGAGAGGAAGTTGCTGCATGCCTATTTGTAAGTGTGCCATTAATGATTCAAGTGTCTTTTGGTGCATGTCACGTTGCAGTATTATTTGTTTTGGCAGAAACTCATATTGATTTTACATGAAGATTCAAAACATAATGGATCTTGGTTTTTCTGTCAGTAAAGCTAGTACCCTTAACTTCCTTTGTGTATCTTTTGGACATTACGAGATGGTCTTTCTTGGGATACCCTAGGATAGAAGTTTCGATTAGTTGGCTGATTCTTCAACTCTTCATTTTTACATATATATCTTTTGATGTTTTAGTGTATCAGAACTGAGTACAAAATTACTAAAAGATGGAGATTCTTTCTTCTTTTTTTGTTTACAAAAGAGTGTTGGCTGATAGTTTGTGCTGGGGTTCGAAATATCATTTGGTAGTGTTTGGTATGGATTGGTAGTTAGTTGTTAGTTCGAAATATCCTAGCGTAGGCATGTATTGGTCAACAGCTTCTTTTAATATATTTTTTTTTTTATTTTTTATGAATTTTTTTCTCCATACTTAGTACAACCTAATGCTGATACAACTTAGTCTAGGATTGGTATGGATCCAATACCTACATTAAAATCTTTGCTTTGTACCTAACATGCGAGACCGTTTGGTATCCAAAATTAAAAATCTCGATTCGTAGATAGAATAAAAAATGTGTTATTCATTTTTCATCAGAGTAATATTTTGAAATTAATTTAGGGTATTTTACTAGGAAAAGTTTTTATTATTGATGTTCCTCATATTTGTTTTTACCCAGGGACATTTTTTTTTATAAATGACAAAAAAGTTCATGAACTAAACTAATATATGTTCGATGATGAGTGTAACTTAGTTGAATTTCCTATATAACTGGGTCAATATTTACTAGTTCAACCTAAACTGTCACAGAATAACTATAACTTGATTCTTAGATGATTAGTTTTTTTTAAAGAATATATGATAATTAATTAATGATTAAAATTTAGGATTTTTTTTGAATTGATATTATGATTGAGTGGAACTTTATCAATTTCTACTTAACCAATCCAATCTTACACAGAATTATTATGACATGATTTGAAAATGATTAATACCTTTTTTTTTAGATTTTATGATAACTAAATATTAAAATGATATATTTTTTTAATATGTTTTGTGATAAGATGTTCAAATTAAACTTATAAATTTTAATTTACTAACTCAAACTTCACCAAACTATTTGGTCATCATATAAGATGATTAGTATTATTTTTGTTCATTTTTTTAGAATTTTATGATACTTAATTATCAAAATTAAATATTTTTAATAGGTTACGATATTGAGTGTAACTTAGTTCAATTTTGAGTGTAACTTGATCTATTTTTGCGAAAGTAAATAAACTTTCACATAATCACTACGAAATGATTTTAAATGATTAGTATCATTTTTTATTTTTTTTATTTTTTATATAATAATTAACTATTAAAATTAAAGATCGTGTGTAACTTAGTTCAATTTCGACTGATCAATTTTCATTAAATCAACTTAGAATTTCATAGAATCATGAGTAGTATTATTTTTTTAAATTTTTTTTTAAAATTATGATGATTAATATTAAAATTAGAGATTTTTTAATTAGCATATGTGATCAAGTCGTTTAAGTAAAATCTATGGGTATTTTTGTCCAAGTAAACAAGCCCACCTAGTAAAAACGAATATGATAAATTGGCCACTAAATTTTGTCTCATTTTTATTGGAAATTTTTTTAATTGCCAATGAAATGAAAACTACCAAAGAAAGAAAGATAACGTTCTCACAATTTTTCTTATTATTTACAGCTAGCTTTTCAAACAAGTTGAAAGACACGTGAATCTTCAGCCTTTTAAAATTCTAGAGAAATATTTCATCCATACCACAATTTTTTTTGGATTAAGGTCACTATAAAACACTCATCAGATCATAATGACAAGTCAATTTTTATTTACTTGAAACTTCAATTTTTAATCTTTGAACTAACAAGGATGTCATATTTGTTGGTGAGCAAATGTGTCGTGGTTGATGAGTCAGCACGGTTTGGTCCACGGATCGATGTCGGGAGTCTTCTCTCGACTGAGCTGGATGTCGAGATAGGTCGGGCCCTCGCGACGGGGTGTTGATCTTCTCGGCTATAGCGCGGTAGGTCAGGCTCTCATGACTCGGTTGTAGCGCGGCGTGACATCGATTGTGATGTATCTTAGACCCAAAATATACCTTATCAATATTGTCATGAATTAACTAATTATCGATTGTGACGTATCTTGGACCCAAAATATACCTTATCAATATTGTCATGAATTAACTAATTCGAATCCGATCTTCGTACATATTGATACTTATGTAGATCGAACTAATCTAGATATCATCGACGTTTATGACATTTTAAGTACCACATTCATGCTCGGATTGATAAAAAGAGTCGACAGAAGCGGACCAAATCGCATTCCAAGGATGGCAGAAAAGTCAAGATTGACTGACTGACATTGATGCTTTGACTCGACTTAAAGGACTTAGGCCGGCCATCTCCATCTCCATCTCCGGCGATCATGAAGGCCACTAGGGAGTGGGCATCCGCCACGAAGAAATATTTCACTTTTGGAGCGAGTGGAACCCGTGAAAGCTTATGATGATACATACGGCTGCTGTGAACTATTAAACTGTCGAAGGTTATTCTAATACAACGAGGGATGCGACAACCACTTTTCCCGGATTCCATAGGGGAACAATCCTCCTTGTTTTCCGTCCCCCCCGAAATCCTCATCTCTTGTAGCGATCACATTCCTGTGGACTTGTTTATCATCATGCTGGAGTTATGATTTCGGACGCAGACTTCCTCGATGTAGGGAGAATAGAGGACAAAGACTATACATTCAAGTCTGCTGCTGCATGCATGTATGATTCATTTTTTGACTCACAAGTTAATCAAGCACATACCTTTAGTTTCCTAATTAATTGATATCCTTTTCTTATTGTCAAGGGAGGATATCATGGAACGGTTGAACTTGGTGCGGACCTTCACATGCAAAAAAGTTCTTTGATGCATCTCGAACATCTGATCTAGTGTTGGATTAAGATTGGATGGGGCTTCCAAGTCAGTAACGAATGGAGGAGAACGAGGTGTGAATGGTCTTAATTATGGAGTCTAATAGGCCCTTTATATTCTACAAGTATTTTATATTTAACTATCTGTGGTTTTTCTTTTTTCTTTTTACAAAGGATACGTGGCTTAGTCGTTGATTGGAGTCTTTGATCTTCTTGTGTAGATTAGGCTATATGATTGAGGGTAAATATTTTTTTCATTACTTATTGTTAGTGAATCTTTACGTCATGATCGATGTGTCAGCACGACTTGATCCAATCTTGAATGCGCAAGGTTATCCACGTGGATGCTCGAGTGGTGGAAGCGAGTGTCGGGTCGGATTGAGTTTAAGACTCGTCTCCCGAACGCAATCTTTTCTCTTGGTGATTGGCTTGCTTATTCGTCGTCGAACACCTATACATAGGCCGAGTTCGAGAGGGGGATTTCTTGACTCGATCCCTCTAAAACTTGAGTCAGTGTTATGTGGATAAAGGAGTTGAATGTCTAAAAATTCCCTTCTCTTGGCATTGATTAAGGGGTTAGCTTTTATACCTATGTACGAGGGCCGATCATACATGATCGATTAATGGCAGTTGACTCCTCAAGCGGTCGACTTATCCCTCCTGTGCAAGCATCGATTGACTTGCACAGATCTATGCCGCACGACGTCGTTCCGAGCTTTCTGGAGCAACTTTGTGTTATACGGCATCGTCTCGTATGACCTCGGACAACGCGGGACATGCGATCGTTCGACCCGAGTCCAAAGTGCCACATCGACGTGACACCATATCAACCATGAGGCTCCTGTTCCCGCCAGAGTAGTACCAAAATATGCCCTATCACTTATAAAAGCTTTAGTTTTGTTAGATCTATTACTCTTGTATTTATTCTTTCTTAATGCCAATTTTTGTAGTCAACCTAATGTGTTTGAGCTCCATTTAATTTGGTCTGCTTACGAGGATAGAGATTTTCTATTTAAATATCCCAACTTGATTTTTAAACTTTGATTTAAATTTCTCAATATCGTTGACGAGGATCCTACCATATTAGGTATGATATGGTGTATTTTGAGTCCAACACACGTCACAGCCAACGCTATACGCCAGGTCAAAATCCATACCAAGGTCCTGCTCGGCACATCTCGTCCCAGGAATCCCGAGACGGTGCCGCCCCCAAGACATGCAAAGTCAGAATTCGTACTAAGGCACTGTTTGGCACGTCCACCACGCCAACCCGCGTACAACCGACCCTCATACAGTAATATAAAGACCTATGGCCGGCATCTGGCCCTGGGGAGAGGCAAAATCAATTGAACACTCCACTGACTTGCTCGTCGGAGGGGCTAAAGTCGGGAATCACCCGACGAAGGCCATTTTTGCAGGAAAGCAACGGACGACCCGTGAGTGTCTCAACCCGGGAATCGCCATCCAGTGTACGAAGACGAGCTGCCAACCACCCTAGAGACGAAGAGACATGGCTCGGCATAAACGGCACCCGGATTGACACACCGAGAAATGCTGATCAACACCTCGTTACGAGGGTCCGATCGATCTCGGCATCCAGCTCAGCCGACGGAAAACTCCCGACATCGACCCGTGGACCAAGCCGTGCTCACTCATCAGTCGCGACACATTTGTTCACCAACAAAATAGTTCATAATATCTCAAACAAAATCTTTCTAATGCTAAGTCAGAATATAAAGACCTAAATCCCAATTATATATGATTAAAAAAAGATTTGTGCGAGGATTAAGTGTTTGACATTGCAAATATTAGTGATCTATTTTGGTAAGATTGTTTTGATTATTGTAAAAATAATCATCGTATCGGTCTCTATCAGGAAAACTTTACACATACATTTATGGTGGTGGTCCCTATGTCAATTGCGGTTCCTATTAGTTTTTAGCGTTGGCGATTCCCTCTCATTGTTTTGAGGCTGGATTTATGGAATAGTGGGTGACCGAACTACATTCGCTCATCCCCTCTCCTCCCCCTGCCGAACGCATGAGGCGTAGTAGCCGACGACGGCGAAATGCCTGCCGCGTGACCTCTCTTCATCGTCCCTCCACTCGAGTAAACGCATCCCCCCTCCCCTCGTCTTCGCATTTATTGCCCTGCGGACTTTTCTGATTTCGTGGATATATTTATGGTCGGATAATTTACCCACTATTCCTTCGAGAAAAAAGAATGCGTCTTTTTGTATTGTATTGGGTGAGTGATCGAAGAGAGAAGAGAAGAGAGGAGTGGTGGGACCCATGATAAACCCATTATCATGGGTGCGTGCCGTCACTCGATAAACCCATCCGCCTGCCTCTCGTAATCACATAATAGCCTTTCATCACCGCATCTCCACCGTTCATTCACCGAGCAATGGGGCCCATCGAGCAACGTGTCGATGATGCTGCTGCTTTAACACAGGCCTGGGAAGAAAGCTGTCTGCCATGTGTCATTCTGCTGTCGCCATTTTATTTGCTAACCGATAATTCCACCCTTCTTAATGGGAGAATTAATCCGATCGTAAGAATCCTTCACTGCCCGTCGTTACTATTTTATTCAACACCAAGTTTCGATCTGTTGGGGGGGGTGGGAGTGGGGGGAGGGGGAGAGAGAGAAAGAGGGAGGGAGGGAAAGCGGCAGGCCCAAAACCTCCCTCGCTTGTCTCTGTGCCCTCCCACCTCCTCCCTCTGCAAAACCCCAGCGGCAGCAGTACCCACCACTATCCACTCACCACTCGACGCTACTACTACTCTACTGCACTTGCCTCCTCCGTTCTTTACTACTTTCGAACACTCTTTTGGTTGCTCCGCCAATGCCGCCCTACTTTGTCTTCGCCCTCTTCCTCCCACTGCTACTGCTATTTCCCCTCCTCATCCCCGCCTACTCGCCGCCGCCGCTGGGGTCGGCCCCCCGTGTGAACCGCACCCCGGAGACCCAGGCGGAGATCGACGCCCTGATCGCGTTCCGCCTCGCCGTCCGTGACCCCCTCGGCGCTCTCGCCGGATGGGACGCCGCCTCCACTTCCGCCCCCTGCTCCTGGCGAGGGGTCGCCTGCGCCCGTGACGCTCCACGCGTCGTCGAGCTCCGCCTCCCCCGCCTCCGCCTCTCCGGCCCCATTTCCCCCCGCCTTGCTGAGCTCCGCCTGCTCCATCGGCTTAGCTTGCGATCCAACCTGCTCTCCGGCCCTCTTCCTCTGGCCCTCGCCGCCCTTACGCGCCTCCGTTCACTCTTCCTCCAGTCGAACGCCCTCTCCGGTCCCCTCTCGCCTGCCCTTCTCTCCAACCTCTCCGCCCTCCAAGTCCTCAGCCTCTCCGGCAACCTCCTCACCGGACCCGTCCCACCCGTCCTCCCCCCGTGCGTCCGATACCTTGACCTCTCCTCCAACGCTCTCTCTGGCCCCATCCCCGCCAACCTCTCCGCCGCTGCACCCCACCTGCAGCTTCTCGACCTCTCCTTCAACCGCATCCGCGGCACCATTCCGGGCGATCTAGGCCGCCTCCCCGCGCTCGCCTTCCTTTGGCTCGACGGCAACCGCCTCGAGGGTACACTTCCTGCGGTCCTCGCCAACTGCTCCTCCCTCGTCCACCTCAGCCTCCAGGGGAACGGCCTCCGCGGCATCGTCCCCGCAGCCATCGTCGAGATGCCCAAACTCCAGGTGCTCGCCCTCGCCCGCAATGGCTTCTCTGGCGCGGTCCCCGCCTCCGTCTTCTACAACGTCTCTGGCACTAGCGGCTCCTCACTCCGGATTGTGCAGCTCGGCCTGAACGAATTCACGGAACTTGCTCCGCCACCACAAGGCTCCCGCGCCTCCGTCGCCCTCCAGGTCCTGGACCTCAGGCAGAATAGGCTTGCCGGCGCATTCCCTGTCTGGCTTGCCAATGTGACGGGGCTCACGGTCTTGGATCTCTCCATGAACGCCTTTACCGGCTCCCTGCCGCCGGATGTCGGACACCTCGCGTCACTGCACGAGCTCCGGCTTGGGTGGAACTCCATGACCGGGCCGGTTCCGGTGGAGATCGGGCGATGCGGCGCCCTCCAGGTTCTTGATCTTGAGGAGAATCGGTTCTCCGGCCAGATACCGACGTCTCTTGGGAGCCTCAGCCGGCTGAAAGATCTCTACCTCGGCGGCAACCTCTTCTCCAGTACGATTCCGGCGAGTCTTGTTAACCTCTCCAAGCTGGAAACCTTATCTGTCCACGGCAACAACATTTCTGGCTCCCTCACAGAGGAGCTGATGCGGCTGAGCAACCTCACTACGCTGGACCTAGCTGGGAATGGTATCTCCGGTGAGATTCCTGCCACCATAGGAGACCTCACGGGGCTACAGACACTGAACCTGAGCATGAACAGCCTCTCTGGCGTCATTCCAGCGGCGATCGGCAGGCTGCTGAACCTGAGGTTACTGGACCTCAGCAGCCAAAAGAACCTTTCCGGCGATCTCCCGGCTGAGCTCTTTGGATTGCCAAGTCTTCAGGTGATATCTCTCGCCGATAATTCATTCTCCGGCCCAATTCCGGAGGGCTTCAGCAGCCTATGGAGCTTGCAGATTCTGAACCTCACCGCCAATGCCTTCTCCGGCCCAGTCCCGGCGACCTACGGCTACCTCCAGTCGCTCAGGGTTCTGTCGCTTTCCTACAACAACATCACCGGCGAGGTGCCCGCGGAGCTCGCCAACTGCGCCAACCTCACCGTTCTACAGCTGCGGTCCAACGACTTGTCGGGCCCCGTTACGGTGGACCTCTCCCGTCTTTCCGACCTCAGAGAGCTCGACCTCGGCCGGAACAACCTCTCCGGGAAAATTCCACCGGCTATCTCCAATTGTTCCGCCTTGGTCACCCTGAAACTCGATGGCAACCGTCTCTCAGGCGACATCCCTGACTCGCTCTCCAATCTTTCCAAGCTCGAGGTGCTGGACCTCTCGGACAATGAGCTCTCCGGCTCCGTTCCCTCTGCCCTTGCTCGCATCTTCGGGTTGGCGTACCTCAATGTGTCCGATAATAGTTTGAGAGGAGAGATTCCGGGGGTGCTGAGCTCCCGCTTCGGCGATCCGTCGGCGTTTGCTGGGAACCCGGACCTCTGCGGTTATCCCTTGGACGGGTGCCAGAGGAGGAAGAGAAGCTATCTCATCCTGGTGATCGGGCTCGCGGCGGCCGCGGCCTGCGTTCTTGTGCTTTTGTGCTGCTGCTTTGCTTTCAGCCTGTTACGCTGGCGGAGGCGCTTCCTAGACGGCCGGACCGGCGTGAAGAAACGGAGCCCCGGGAGGGGCAGCGGATCAAGCGGAGGGAGCAGCGGTGGCGGGGAGAACAATGGCGGGCCGAAGCTGGTTATGTTCAACAACAGGAACACCTACGCGGACACGTTGGAGGCGACGCGGCAGTTCGACGAGGAGAACGTGCTCAGCCGCGGCCGTCACGGGCTGGTGTTCAAAGCGTGCTACAACGACGGCACCGTGCTGTCCATCCTGCGCCTGCCGTCGACGTCGGCGGATGGAGCCATCGTGATCGAGGAGGCGGCGTTCCGCAAGGAGGCCGAGTCGCTGGGGAAGGTGAAGCACCGGAACCTGACCGTGCTCCGTGGCTACTACGCCGGGCCCCCGCCGGACGTTCGGCTGCTGGTCTACGACTACATGCCCAACGGCAACCTCGCCACTCTCCTGCAGGAGGCGTCCCACCAAGATGGCCACGTCCTCAACTGGCCCATGCGCCACCTCATCGGCCTCGGCGTGGCCCGCGGCCTGGCTTTCCTCCACGCCTCTGGGGTCGTCCACGGGGACGTCAAGCCGCAGAACATCCTCTTCGACGCGGACTTCGAGCCCCACCTCTCGGACTTCGGGCTGGAGCCGATTGTGGTCACGGCCGGTGCGGCTGCGGCCGCAGCCGCGGCGTCGACTTCGGCGCTGCCCGTGGGATCCCTGGGGTACGTGGCGCCGGACGCTGCGGCGGCGGGGCAGGCGACGCGGGAGGGCGACGTGTACAGCTTCGGAATCGTGCTGCTGGAGCTGTTGACGGGGCGGCGGCCGGGGGCGTTCGCTGGGGAGGAAGAGGACATCGTCAAGTGGGTGAAGCGGCAACTGCAGCGGGGGCAGGTGGCGGAGCTGCTGGAGCCGGGCCTGTTGGAGCTGGACCCGGAGTCATCGGAGTGGGAGGAGTTCCTGCTAGGGGTAAAGGTTGGACTACTCTGCACCGCCCCCGACCCGGTCGACCGGCCTTCCATGGCCGACATCGTCTTCATGCTCGAGGGCTGCCGCGTCGGCCCCGACCTCCCTTCCTCCGCCGACCCCACTTCCCAACACTCTCCCGCGTGAATTCTTTCTCTTTCTTTTCCCGCTAAATTATCTTGTTGTTTTTTCGAATCCCTTGTGGTGTTTCTTTCTATTTCTTTCGATTTTATTTTTATCGGGCCCCATCGTCCATATCTCCCTCTCCTCCCCGCCCCACCCGACCTCGCTGGTTGGGTGCACGAGTGGGGCGACGGGGTGGTGGTCAAATTGACTCCTCCATGGGCTCCACCGGGCCTGCCGTACCATTCCCAAAGAAAGCTGAAACGCCACGTGCGAGGACGTAGCCGTTGGAAAGGAGGCAGTGGACCGGGAGTACCACTGCTGCCACTGAGGTCCCGCTTTGAGATTCCCTTCTCTCTTATCGTGCCTCCAAGTGGAGGAACGACTGTGTCAGAACGGAGCTGCGGTCTTCCCTCCGGATCTGTTGTTCAAAATAAGAAATGGTCTGGGAATCTGGCTCGGGCGGGTCGTAGTGACCGAAGCAGCAACGGAGGTGACCGTTCGACCCATATAACAACACTTGACCTCCCCCTCGCTCTGTCCGTACTTCAAAATCACCGAGGCGTCCTCAAGAAGAAGCCATTTGACTTGTAGTGCTCGTTCGGGCGACTTCTGCTGGCGCACGTGCCATGAAACAAGCAACTTTGAGCCGCGAGGGCCGCCGGAGCATCCCGCCGAGCGCTGCCCAGGTTTCTGGTCCCAGGCGAAACTGTGTACACTACGAAATAAAGACGAGACAGCGGAAATAATGGCGCCCGAAATGCAAGTACTCAGATCGCACGTATTGTCAATCCCTATCCATTGGCTGATGAACTGTGGATAATATCACATCGACAGGAAAATTTCTTGGCCGGAAGTGTCACGGGGGGAATAGTCACCAACTCATTGGATAGAACGAGTGGTAAGATCTGATTCCACACAATCGAGTTAAAAGGTGACATTGTGGCAAGTACTCGTCCTTCATCTTTCGAGACAACTGGACACGCTCGATGCTGATATCAATGCATTCTCTCTTTTTGGGGCGCTTGGAAATGGTTTCTTGTCATGCAATTATCTTCTGACACTTTGCCGATTTTTATTCGATTCTCCGTGGGCTGTTAGATTGAATTGCTGATGAAGATTCCGAGCATTACCATTCATCTCGAAAATATGTATTACTTTTGGAGAAGATCGCTGAAGAATGACGCGACAAACAGAACAGAGGGCATTGATTCCTACTGCCCGAATAGCCACATCCGTGGGACAATCAAATTTAGCATGAGTTTTCTAAATGGTCGATCGCTTGAATCAAAATAATAAAAGATATATCGGATTAGATTACATTAGGGATTGTTTTTTGAGGTTTACTGTACTTTAGTAATTCATCACAAAACTCAAAGTTCTCCGATCAACCACTTAATCGTAAATAAAATATCAAATAAAAAATCATATTAGGAATTTGAGTTTTTTTAGGCGGTAACAATAGCGACAAGGAAAATATTTTTTCTTAATTGTAGCTCGACATGGCCAGCAAGATTCGCCAAAATTAAGGTGACATGAACACCCCGTCTATAGAAAATATTTTGCCTTTATCCCACAAACAGTAGGACAAGAAAATATTTTTTTTTCTCACTAATCTATTATAAAAAGTTATCTTAGATATGCTAATCGAGATAAGTTACTATTTAGTAAAATTATACAATCATTATCTGCTAATGATTTAAGCATCGAAAGGATCACATCGAGAAACTCATTCCACCTTAATCTTTTACAATTTGATTACGAAGCATGCTCCCGAGTTCATCTTAACATCCGAGCTTCCATTTCGATCACATTGGACTTTTTGTGTACATGGTGGATAATCGAATTGGATTGACTTAGATATCATTGACATCCACATTATCAAATTGTTAAAAGGAAGAGGATAGGTTAAATAGGCCCGACAAACTACCTATCAACCTTAGTCCTCATATCTCTATTATCGAGTTCATTCCACCATATTTATATATCGAACTATGATAGGTTCTTGAGTCATCCATCCAAATGACTTTGGAGCCTAACTGTGTATAGGACAGTATGAAAGGATGCTGAGAGACATGATGCGGATTAAGTTTGCTCCCGTAAAGAGATTCTCTCGAGTAAGAAAAAGAGATATAGAAGGCTTAGATCAAAGATAACTCGTGTTTGGATGGGGTATGGGATTGACATTTGTATTATCTTATTGTTGGTGAATCTTTACGTCATGGTCATATGGCTTGGTTCGATCCCGAATGTGCAAGGTTGCTCATGCGGATACTCGGATGATGGTGATGAGCATCGAGTCAGAATGAGTTTAAGCCTAATCTCCTGAGAGACAACTCGTGTTTGGATGGGGTATGGGATTAACATTTGTATTATCTTATTGTTGGTAAACCTTTACGTCTTGGTTCGATCCCGAATATGCAAGGTTGCTCACGCGAACACTCGGATGATGGTGACGAGCATCGGGTCGGGATGAGTTTAAGCCTCATCTCCTGAGTGCAATCATCTCTCTTAGCAAGTGATCTGCTTCTTCATCGCTAAGCTTCTACACGTAAGTCAAGGTTGGGAGGGAGATTTTTCGATTCGATCCCTCCGAATGTTAAGTTCTAATAGAGTGTAATAAGAGAGGGTTAGCTCTTATGCCTGGGGTGGGTATGTCTCTTGTACCTCAATGCAGCGTCGTCCCGAGTTTTGCGGAGCAGCTTTTATGCTTGCGGGGGGGGGGGGGGGGGGGGGGGGGGGGGGGGGGGGAAAAATTTTTTTTTTT